AATTTCAGAGCTTTTGGACAATGGCTGTATTACGGAGCGTAGTGAGCCTCCTTTTGCGTTAACCCTTTGACAGTTGCGGAGGGCAAGAAGCTTCGCTTAGTGATTGATCTTAGACATGTTAATTGTCACCTCGTTCGTTTTAAGTTTAAGTACGAGGACCTTCGCTCGCTGTCACAGGTTCTTCAAGAAGGACACTGGTTCTTTACCTGGGACCTCAAATCTGGATACCACCATGTTGATATTTCTCCAGACCACCAAAAGTACCTAGGTTTTGCATGGCCCTTTAACGGCGTACTTAGGTATTTCACTTTCTCGGTTTTACCCTTCGGTCTCAGTAGCGCGTGTTTTTGCTTTACTAAATTATTGCGCCCGTTGGTTAAGCGCTGGCGATCTATGGGTCATAACTCTTTTGTTTATCTCGACGACGGTTTTGGTAGCGAGCCAGATAGGACGTCCGCCGTCGCAGCAGCTTTTATTCAGCGAAAGGAACTTGACTCTTCCGGTCTCCTTGTTAACGAGGAGAAGTCTCACTGGGACCCGATACAAGTTGGCGATTGGCTCGGTTTTGTGATCAACACTATTTCTATGACGTTTCAGATTCCCGAAAAGAAGGTCTGCAAGCTTAAGCGGCTTTTGAATTCCGCCATTCAAAACAAGTCATCGTCCTATCGTGAATTAGCCAGGATCGCCGGTTCCATTATTTCGGTTGCGTTAGCGGTCGGACCTATTTCCCGTCTTCTGACTAGGCAGATGTACTTAGCTATAGAGTCTAGGTCGGCTTGGGATCACCTTTTTCTTTTCCCACCCGCTCTTCTAGAGGAATTGAAGTTTTGGTTTTGTAACATTGAATCTTTTAATGGTTACTCCATTCGGCCTCCCCCTGATTCATCCACCGTGGTATTTTCTGACGCGAGCGACGCAGCTTTCGGAGGATTTTCCGCCTCCCTGGACGGCACTGTGGCCAGCGGTATGTTTACGACGGACGATTTGGGTCAAAGTTCCACTTTTCGCGAACTGAAAGCTATTTATTATGTCTTGCTTTCTTTTGTTGAGCACCTCAAGC